AATAAATTTCGTCAGGAATCTGACTTGGAAACACCTTGCTGAAAAGGCAGTTTTAAAGATAAGAAAAGGGTTCTGCGGTGAATATGATGGCATCAGCGTACACGAAACGGAGAAAGCTGTTTGGACTCTACCAGCAACTGATTATTTCGGTGGTGGAGTATGGTTTGCGATTGCTAACACTATCGCAGGCACAAAGGTAGAAGCTGGAGCGCAATTAAAATGAAACAGTGTAAGTCATTTTCGAATATAAACTAGACACGCCAATCGTGTGTACGAAGCACATACTTGCAGTGCCAACAGTGTATGAAAGATACAAGGTGTTGCGGGTGAAACCGTACCTCAAAGTCGAATCAGAGAGAGAGATCACATTCTACATGAGGTCTTTAGAAATAGCTAGGGACATCGCAAGAAATGACGAAGCGCTTGGATGGCACCAGCAGAAGTCCCCATAAGGAATGTTTGTGCTACCGACAAAATAACACACGAGGAGGACAGGATCACAGTGTAGCCCAGTAAAACAGCCTTAAATAGAGTGGTAGTTGCCTTGTACTGAGGGTGCTCGGAACGGATAGCTGGTGAAACAGACACAGCGATATATGAGCTCATCAATGATCAGGTGATATCCTTAAATACACAGATGGGTCTGTTGAGAAGGTAGGAAAACTGCGTTGGGTTTTATTTGAAAATTAAATTGACACTGTTTGAAAACAGAGAGAGTATGGCCTATAAAATCACAAGATCCAGTATGAGAATGGAGCCTGGGGCAGTAGAGACAACTTTCCAATGACTTGAGAGGTGCCCAGCCCGACAGGTTTTCATTTTAACGGACTGATAGACCATGGTCCGTACAATTGAAAAGAGCATCCTAACGTAGAATGATCTGCGTCACTTGATAAGATTCAGTTCGAGGGCAGGTCGTAGATTTTCTGGGTAAGACAGTTGAGTGTGCGGGACAGTGAGCAGAATGATGGGTTGGTTGATGCTGCTCCTCCAGACGATGAGCTATTTTATGGTAATGCAAACGTGGCGTGGGCTCTCTGGGATCAAATGGAGAGTGTATAGAACGAACAGGGGACGAATACAGTGAAAGACTTAATCAGCTGGGGATGAGTAGAGGTTGTGAGATATTCAGAGCTGAGGGGGGAATCATAGACAGACTGCAGATCAGGCTGCAACTGTTAGCATGTCGACTCTTTGTTGGCTATTTTGGATGAGAAAAAGCACGTATGGGACTGTCACGAGTGAAATGATGTCAATTTTTGATTGATTCATTTATTCATTTATTCATACTGTATGGTAATTAAAAAAAATATCAGCCAAGTGTCATCTGCCAGATACGCTAAAGGTTATTGCGTATCTTTTACATGACGTTGCAGAACAAACCCTAACAGCCCCTGGCTGTTGTGTGGTTTCTCTAGGCAAATTTACGTCCAGTAGTTTGCCACTGCTCCCTGAACGGTCGGCTTTCTTGATACCACTGTCGAAACCAACGCAAGGCGCATTGCTCGCAGCTGGGATCGAACCTGGCATCCCGGCATTACGAATCGAAGCGTTCGCATCGACTCAGCCACAAAGCCTACTGCTAGATACGCTACTGGTGTGAAAAATGGTCTACAACTCGCTTGTATGCATGATACTGGGAACAAAGTATCGAATCATAAACCCGATCTTAATTGGGAACTGATATTTTCTTTTTCAAACCCTTTATCAAACGACAGTTTTACCTCTTCGTGACAATTTGTTTAACAAACACGGGAACTCTGAAATTATGTTATCTTTAAAACAAAAATAAATAACGAGTCTTTTTCGGTTTAAAAGTCCCATGTTATCTAATAAATGTGAACTCTTCCTTTCATACTGTTAGTAAGTGCATGAATCGATGGTATTAACAACTTTCATTTTGATTAGCATGCTACCCACAGATTTTATGCAACGAACAAGAAAACCCATCGAGAATATCTTCAAAAACAAATTGGAAGAAAAACGTTTGGTTTGTTTTAGTATCCAGAAGCCATGAGTTGTTAACTATTAGGCTCGGTGTTATGGATATCGCAACCTTTCGGCCTTGATTACATTGTAAATACCGCAAATCTGGGAGAAAATGTGGCTTTCCTGCCTATCCCCGGGATTGAACCCGGACCACAAGGAGTTCGTCACCCGGTCTCCGCCCCATCCGGTTTAGCCACTTACGCTAGAGAGCCGGGCATTGGAAGAAACTAATATTATAGCCAGTCTGCCTAAACAAGCCACCTAGGAAATATGTGTCAAGCTTCATGACTTCTTCTTGTTTCCCTCCAGTTATCTCATCAGTACTGGTGTGTTAGTGTGTGTGTGTGTGTGTGTGTGTGTGTGTGTGTAGAGAAGGGTGAGGGGGTACGGATCATATATTAGTTTTCTCTAATGCGTTGCATAAGTTGATCTTCATTTATTCACGGCTGTTCTTGATTTTTTGCGTGGTCATCTTCTTGCCCTGTGTTTAATTAATTTCTTCAGTGTGGCTCTCTGTTTTTCTCCATTCTTAACTACAACAGTCAACACGAACATGGGAGAGAAATGCAGACGGTTCGCAATGAACCCTCGTAGCAATGAAAGTGCCATCACACACACACACACACACACACACACACACACACACACACACACACACACACATACACACACACACACACACACACACACAATTGAGAGAAAAGGGAAAAAAAGGGCAAAGTGGACTCGAAAGCCCAGGAGACTTCTAGATCATAGACTGCACCAACAATATTTCGATTAAAAAAAAATTTAAAAAGGACTATTTAAGTCTTTATCATGTTTCTATACAACCACCACGCAAATGTACTAAAAACTGGTGAAAGGCTGTTACAGCTTACACATCAAAAAGACAAATCAGCTGTCCATATCTATGAGATAGTTGAAGCTCATATATCAAAGCGACAATTCAACTGTCCAGAACTATGAGATATTTGAAGCTCATATATCAAAACGACAAATCAGCTGTCCAGATCTATGAGATAGTTGAAGCTCACATATCAGAACGACAAATCAGCTGTCCAGAACTATGAGATAGTTGAAGCTCATATATAAGAACGACAAATCAGCTGTCCATATCTATGAGATAGTTGAAGCTCATATATCAGAACGACAAATCAGCTGTCCAGAACTATGAGATAGTTGAAGCTCATATATCAGAACGACAAATCAGCTGTCCAGAACTATGAGATAGTTGAAGCTCATATATCAGAACGACAAATCAGCTGTCCAGAACTATGAGATAGTTGAAGCTCATATATCAAAACGACACATCAGCTGTCCAAATCTATGAGATAATTGAAGCTCACACTCGAGAATAACAAACGAGTTGTCCGTCTGATCCCAAGTAGTTACAGTGGGGAGGCGAGTAAAGGTTCTCGGAAGTCCTAAACTGATAGACACACAACAGCTATCGTATAGTCAGTAGCTATATACGCATTATTAGATAGATTACAATGCGAGTAGAAAGAGATACCACAGAATCCGAGGCTGCGGAAATTAAAATAAAGAAAGGAGATGGAGGAGCTGATGAAACCTAACCAACTCAGTGTCCCTAGATTGTTAGAGCTGGAAGGACAGACAATCACTGACAAGAATTGTTCTCTTGCTTGAGAAAGAGGAACATTCTTAACGCAGGTGCAGCCATTTAAAGACACAGCTGATTTCAGGAGGGACATAGTTTTTGGTAACCACATACAGGGAGACAAGAGAGCGCGCTCAAACGGGGCGGATGCAAACTGAAACACTCACTATGCATTACAGCTTATATTCTAGGAGAAAGAAAGAGCAAATGTCGTTGGAAGAAAGAAATAGAACTGCAAACTGAAACTTTAAGATAAGAAGGTAATATAAAGTGTTTATAGAGCGGACTTAATAACTGATTCGATCTTATAACTAGCTGCTCAGAATTACTAGCATGTAGACATTACTGAAGATGAAGACTGAACATCTTTGTCATACGTACTGAAATTATCGATTTCTGAACTGATGATGTTAAAAAAAAACTGACTGGTGTTATTCACTTGATAGACACTTACTCGTTTTGCATTCAATAAGCACTAAGAAGCCTCACCTGATCATTTCTGCAGTCCTGTGCCGTCCAGAACACGTGTCACTCTGGAGACATGAAAAGCTACTACTTCGTTGGAACAAAACGGCAGAGTCGGAGACGCTGCTTTGTAGGCGGTCTAAAGACCAAAGAAGACTGGAGAAAGTAAATCCCAGTAAATACTTGTCAACATCCAATGCTCTGATCCACAGGACTGACGAAACAGTAAGACATAACATGTTCCATTATGAAGTCTGTCAATACTAAATATATGATATACCGCGATGATATTTTTTTTCGACTTCTTTCTTTCCCTATTTCTTCTTCGCCTTCTTTTTCTTGAACATTCTGAGTCACTGAGACCCATTACTGTAAATATAACTCGCCCCCATCCATCTCTTCAATTGGCCTTTTCTTGATATATGTTTATTGACATAATACTTTTTTTCGAAAGGCTGTGGTATCGACCCCTCTCTTCATTTCCCAATCTGAAATACTAAGGAAAAGATACAATCAGCAAACAAAAGAAAGGACATTTTAACACATTTTCAGGCGTGTTTGGCATACATGGATTAGACCTATATTGTATATACCAATCAGCACTCGGTGAGTGATGTGGCCAGTATCACGCCGGCCGCCTGTACGTCTCAGAAATTTACTTGGCACCAAATTGCTGTTCAAGGGGCCTCAGAGCCAAGGTCATTTAAAGAAACAAAACTGTCCTGCTCTATCAGGACCTGAGCCCACCTCCCTCAGATGAGCAGACGAACTTCTAGCCGCTACATCACGGCCTCTCCTGTAATCATGAAATACCTACAATAAATACAATCTTCTGAATGAGTAAAACAACAGTGGTTATTACTGAAACGTTATCATGATATTTTTCTTTTCCAGATTGAGATAAGAGTTAATCATGATGATACACATGGTGAGCAGGCTGATTGTGAGAATTGTGACTTCTGCGATTTACTGGTTCATCATCATCGTTTTTCTGACCCTGATCTGGCATGTTGTGAATCACAGGAGCAATCGTAAGATCACAGAATTCAATCTTTACACTGGGAAGACTCCGTACATGCTAAACACGATTATTACAGTTGGTGAACAGCTGACTAACAGTTACAATGATTCAGTGAAACAGAACAGACTCGCAGAGGTCAAGAGAGAGTTTAATGATGTTTTTCAGACCAGTGAAACCACGTATCCTGCCAATAGAATCGGTAACTATATCTTCTCCAATCCCAATCTCTGTAAAGATGCTCCCAGTATCGATTTCATCATTATCGTGCACACAGCAACTAAAAATTTTGAAAGAAGACAACGAATCAGAGCCACTTTTGCGAACACATCTTTATTTTACCCAGCCCAAATACGAACTGCTTTCTTACTGGGTAAAACGACAGACAGCAAATTAACGAAGATGCTATGGCGGGAACATAGAACATACAACGATACGGTTATGGGAGATTTCATCGATGATTATTACAACCTTACATTGAAGGGAGTCATGGGACTTCGCTGGGTCAAAGATCACTGTCTAAATGCTGCTTTTGTGTTGAAAATAGATGACGATGTTTTAATAAATATGTTTACACTAGTTCATATGTTCTTACCACAAATGAAGACACAGAAGAGAACTATTTTCTGTCAGGTATATTTAAAGGATACAATGCCGATATTTAGAACTGGAGCGTGGAAAGTGGACTCCCATATTTTCCCAAACAGGACAACATATCCGTATCCATACTGCCCAGGTTTTACCGTAATACTAACCCCAGACTTGATTGATGAACTGTACCAGACTGCAAAGGTTACACCGTTTTTCTGGATTGATGACAATTACTTGTTCGGGTTGTTGCCATATGTTATTGGAAACATACATTTTTCGTATTATGAATGTAAAGCATTTCTATCACCGCTCTATCAGAAAGCTGAAGACTGTGCGTTACCCCGAAAAGTGGGAAGCACATTGTATTCTATTCTTTTAAACGACATATATTTCTGGCCTTGCTGGTATTCAATGAAAAGTTTGTATAACAGTTAATTATGCCAGAAAAGCTACAGACATATTTTGTTTTCGGTTTCTCTATTTCAGAAATAAAGACAGTATGACTGACTGACTTTTTACCCCACCAGGACATCACATAAGCCATAAACACACGATGACACAAAGTGCCACCATGTGGAGGAAGATCACCCGTGGAGAAGTCCCAGAAACTGCATTCAGCCATTAGACCATGTTTGTGGCCAGGCTATATTGCGGCCCCTGGCAAGAGACAGAGTAGGGCTTCAAAAAACGAACAATTGCATCCCACTAAGGGATGACAGAGGTAGTACATAAAGACAGTATCAATAAATGCATACATTATTGCCTAGCATATTTCGTTTGAACAAAGAAGATAAAAAATAGATTGCTCAAAATTATTGCCTGGTATTTTTCGCGCGTGTGTGTGTGAACAAGGTAGACAAACAATAAATTGCACGAAGTACTTAGTGCTTCCCCCCCCCCCCCCCTCCCCCCATAGTTAAAGAAGACATGTATTGAACAAATTGTTACTTGGAATTTTTTTTTATATCAAGGGCAACAGCCTTTATATTGAAAAAAAAATGATTGTCTCCATTATTCATCTAGTTTCGTCCTTTTTAGGACGAATTTTTTGTTATTTGAAGCCCCACCCTGACTTTTGCCAGGGGCTGCAATAAAGGGAGGCCATAAATATGGCCAATTGTCTGAACGCGGTTTCTGCGACCTCTCCACGGTGATCCTCATCCACATGGTGGCACTTTGTGTCATCGGGTGTTTATCGCTTGTGTGATGTCCTTGTGGGGTAGAAAGTCAGTCAGTCAGTCAGTCAATGATTGTCTAGTTTTTTCTTTTTTTAACAAGGGAGACAAACAACAAATTGCACTAATTATTACCTAACATTTTTTTTTAATCAAGGGAGACAAGCAATATATAGCACCAATTATTGCCTAGAATAATTTTTTGTGATTAGCGGTGACAAACAATATTTTGCATAGACTATTGAGTGGCAATTTTCTTTTTAGACAAAGAAGACAAACAATAGACTGCACAGAGTATTGCTTGAAATATATATATATATATATTTTTTTTTTGTAAAGTAGATACAAATTATACAGAACAAATTATTGCCTAACATATTTTTTGTGTAACAAGTTAGACGAACAATACAACATTGCTAAGATTATTACCTTGCATATTTTTCTTTAAACATTGTTTAACTGGTCGCCCCTATGCGGGACGCGATTTTTATTTATTTTGAAGCTAAACCACAGCTTTTGCCAGGTGCCGCAATATAGCCCGAAGGCTGAACGCGCGGTTTCTGTGACCTCTTCACGGGAGATCCACATCTGCATAGTGGCACTTTGTGTGATGTTCTGGTGGTGTAAAATCTACTTACCTTCCTACTTCTTTTACACAAAGCAGACAAACAATAGAGTGCCTAAGTTATTGCCTGACGAATTTCGCTTGAAAAGAAAGGTCAAAGAGAAGGGTGTCAAGGCATCTAACAAAAGAGTGCCTGCACAGCCAAGAAAAGCTCACTTTGTGAGCACGAAGCTTATCAAGCCTCAATTTCTTTCACCAGTTCCATATGAGATTAGTGCCTAAATTATAATAAATTTGCTTAAAAAAATGGTGGTTTAAAGTGTTTGATTATGTATTTTAATTGTAAATGTTTTTTTTATTTGCTTCATTTATTTCAGTTTTTTGAGTGGCCTTTTTCGCTAAGAAAGACAAGGAAGTGAACCTGCACTTGCCCCAGTAAACCTTTGAAAGTGTTTTAATTTCTATTTCAATCGTGAGGTATTCATGTAATTGGTTAATTTTATTTAATCGTTTCCATAGAATGTAAATGACGGGGTTGATTGTCTCGTTGTCACACAGGTGATTTACAGTGACTGTATTTTTTTTGTTATCCATAAGTAAAAAAGTAAAGTAAAGATCCCTTTACTCGCCTTCAGGCGCATCGGGCATATGGGAAGAACACCCATATTTAATAGACCAATCAGCACTAGTGGGTAATGTGGTTAACATTACGCCGGCTGTCTTTACTTCCCCAGGACAGCCATCCTGGTACCTATTATAGGCTGGATCGACCTGCGACGCCCCATACCATGATAAAAATCCACGCAGCCAGCAGTGGGTTTCAAACGCGGTACGTTAGAATTACGATCGGACTCGTAACTCCTAAGCCACGGACGCCGCTTTGTTATCTATACAGTGCAGAAACAGTAAATCCAATGTAGAATCACTGAGAAGTTAACAATAACGTGTAAGTGCTTTCAACATTACTCAGTCAGTGTGAACTAAAATAGCATTTCTTTAGACATGTTTCTTTCCAGTGCCGTTACCACTCCAGCGTATAAAGTGAAGCCATACTACAGATCAAGTTTTCAATCAAATCAAGCAACAACAGAGTAGCTCAACAAGAAGAACATCTAGTCAAGAATGGAAGCAACTATTAATTAACTATCACCGACTGTAATTTTCTGAATCATCACATTCATTTTATTATATATTATTGTTATTTTTTGTGCAATTTTATTATTTTACTTATTCATATTAATAATACTCTTATTACATGATTAATTGCTATTCTGCAGATTTATTGGCAATACTATCAAATTATTGTCATTATCACTATTAAAAAACTCATTGTTATTGTTACATTTACTTTAGTTAATTTGTAAATAATTTCAATTGTGAATAATTTAACATTTGATTTTTAGTAAATAGAAGACACTTTATTATTTTGCTGTTTGAATTTTTTTGAGAGTGCACTTAATAACATTCAGTAATTAGCATTAAAAAAAAATCTATTGCTGTAAAATTCATGGTTCTTTTTAAGTGACAGCCGACTACACGACACCGTCTAGTATTTCAGAAGCTGGTAAGAGCGGGTTTCCGTCTTTTCTGTGCTTCAGCGCGTTTCTTCCAACGATGTGTGTGAGTGTGTACTTTTAGTGCCGTGTGTTCAATCTTCGCCATGAATTTCCTTGAATAAGCAGCATCGATACACGACAAGAAGAGCAGCGTTGCTTTCTTGCAACATCATGGCATTTTTCTTCACCAGAACGAGAGTCTGTCGTCTCTGCTGCCGCACCAGTTGCCGCATTCCAACATCTCTACAGATCTACTAACGTGTGAAATTGTTCTGACTGTGAGCACTTTTAGCGACCCCAAACATCTAGAACTGGCCCTAACACCAACCCACCTACGTCCCACAAGAGAGTGCAGCCTAGCTCCTACGACTGCATGCAGCCTAGGTCCCACGATATTATGCAGCCTATAATATACACAATGTCATTGTTTTACTTGAAGTCATAGAAGGCTATAATTACCAATATTATGAACCGATACACCAAATCTCTGCAGTTTACAGCTAGAATGATTGGCCCTTTTTAGGTTCAGTAATTAGGCCATAATTATGGCTGGGCTTTATTGCTGCCCCTGGCATGAGCCAGAGTAGGGCTTCAAACAACGAAAAATTGCATCCTAAAAAAGACGTCAAGCTCGAAAATGTATAGTACTATCAGAAATAGGTGCTTTGTTTATATACATTTCTGTAACCTATGGTGCTATTTGGGTGGTTGAAATAAACTATGTCCGCATTCCATAGTTGTGGATTTCAAGCTGTGCGATAGCCATACCATTGTGGACACCTTTTTTAAGGGGGCGCCTACTTCGTTATGTTCATAGTATGCTTGTTTCGATAGCGAGGGTCAAAGGCCATTTGGAGGTGACGGGTTCGATTCCCGACACGGTAACTATAGCTTTCGATTTTTATGTTGTCTAGTGTGTCGTGCGCTCTGTCTTTGTACTTCTTTCTACGAGAGCCGGTCAATACATTGTCTCTTTATTAAGGTCGTCTCAGCTGCTCTGTCATTACTTCTCCCCTAAGGCAGCTAATTAGGTTTTCCTCTCATTCCCTGATCTTTCCTTCTCCTCTCCTGATGATGTTATATTATGATGATCTGCATCACTAAGCTGGGCGAAATTCCACTGTGACGTCTCAGACTCTCTTGATCATAGACCCCACAACAACAGGCTATCTCAGGACACTGTCAAGTTGTAAAGAATAACAAACAGGGACATAGATTTTTCAACAGCAAATAGTTCTATCATAATCGTCACAATTAATGCACTTACTGTTCCCATTAATAAGAGCTAAACTATCAATATAACCACCACCACTACTGCTCACCCATGTCGTATAGCCACACTCCAGTTGGCTAGGACGTCCGATCGACGACTGTCCTGAGCCGGTTCACAACCTGAGCTCACTTTCCTTACTTCAGGTATTTTAGGTGGCTTCTGTGGTTTGCGTGAACATCATGACAAAAACCTTTTTAGCACTCTGTTGGCAGCCCACACTCACTTAGTTGCCACCACTACCCCGATCATGACAACACCTGTCTAGCGCTCTGCTGCCACTCCCACACTCACCCAGTCGCCACCCTACCCCGTCATGATAACATCTGTCTAGCGCTCTGCTGGCACTCCCACACTCACCTAGTCGCCACCCTACCCCGATCATGATAACACCTGTCTAGCGCTCTGCTGGCACGCCCACACTCACCTAGTTGCCACCGTTACCCCGATCATGATAACACCTGTCTAGCGCTCTGCTGCCACTCCCACACTCACCCAGTCGCCACCCTACCCCGATCATGATAACACCTGTCTAGCGCTCTGCTGGCACTCCCACACTCACCCAGTCGCCACCCTACCCCGATCATGATAACACCTGTCTAGCGCTCTGCTGGCACTCCCACACTCACCCAGTCGCCACCCTACCCCGATCATGATAACATCTGTATAGCGGTCTGCTGGCACTCCCACACTCACCCAGTCGCCACCCTACCCCGATCATGATAACACCTGTCTAGCGCTCTGCTGGCACTCCCACACTCACCCAGTCGCCACCCTACCCCGATCATGATAACATCTGTCTAGAGGTCTGCTGGCACTCCCACACTCACCTAGTCGCCACCCTACCCCGATCATGATAACATCTGTCT